GCCCAGAATTTCATGGCCAGCCTGGTCAACATAATGAGACTCTGTTTTGAAAGGAAAAATCAATTTGCTGAAACATTTCTAAAGGTTGCTTAATATTCTATCATATGTTATCTCTATTCAACCATTCATTCCTACTTCTGGACAGTTATAATTGTGAAGAATTAGGAACACTGCATCTAACATTTTGGCACGTATCATTTCCTTACATCTCTGATAACATCCTTATTAAAAAATTATTTGAAGTAGAGGTACTTAAACATTTGAATGACTTTTGTTACATATTCACAAATTTCTTATCTGAAAGATCATACCAATTTACTGTAAGAGATATGAATAAGAATATATGTCTCATCAAACTGTCACAGTGTTGAATATTATAAAAACAAACTTGGTTGCTTTAATTTGCATTTACTTAGTAGTAAGGCTGAACATTTTAACATGTATGACAGCTATTCTAGAATGTGTAGTAAGAGTACATTGCTTGGAAAGAGATTAAGGGAAGGTGCTAATCAGTTAGCTGCCCATAGGTGGGTAGAGAGGGGAGAAAGAGTTTCTTTAAAGGGCAAAATTAATTATTTAAAATTTCCTACTTATATTTCAGAAATACCAGCATGGCTGACTACTCATGAATCAAACCCACTCTTTATATCTAGTCAGATATTAAGTCCTACCACTTTTTCTTTGAATCCTATTTCCTCTCCCTTCTCATTTCAACCACCTCGTACTTAGAACACTAACTTCTAAATGGCTCCTGGATATCAACTTTCCCCACTATAAAATACTCTATATACCTACTTAAACCAATCTTGCTTAAACCTCATTTTCCTATCCTCCACGCTCCCTACAATTTCTCAATATATCAAGCTTCACTCTAGACTTTTAAGGCCCTCCCTCTATACTCCCAGTGTCTAGTCATCCTAGTTTTTCTTTTAAATTTAATTTGGATGAATAATAATAACAATATGCAAGGTGTGACCTAAGAATATGATGAAAGTTTAAAAAATTCATTATGATAAAAGGCACACTGCAATGAATCCTCCTCAAAATACTTCCCTTCACTTTGAACACACTCAGCCCATCCTTCCTTGATGAAGTACTTTTTAGTGGCTCTAGTTGCGCTGTTGAGCCCTGAATCAATTCAAGATGTTCACCTTTCCTGGTCATATGGGCTTCAGAGAGGAGACAGAAGTACTGTGATGTTCCTATGAGCCTGCCTATCTGTTAGACGGCATGCAGCACCACCATTTACTGGGTCTTGTAAAGACACTCATGAAAGATGCTGTGTGTTCAAAGTGAGGGGCTGAAGGGCATTGATGATGATGTCCTTTACTAATACTTTAAAATTTAAACATCACCATATATTTTGATCACCTCTTGCATTTCTGGGCACAATGTAATAGGTCCATGTATACATGGTGGGATGATCACATCAGCCTAGCATGTATGTATCTTTTACCTCACATGTTCATTTTTCTGTGGTATGAACATTTAAAATCTGCTTAGTAACTTTGAAATATATATTATTAGCTATAATCATCATGCTATACAATAGATCACCAGAACTTACTTTTCCTGTGAAACTTTGTACCTACTGGCCCATATCTTCCCTTTTTCCTGCTCACTCCCCACCCTTAGCCTCTGCTAACTTCGCTATACTTCTATGAATTTGACATTTTTAGATTTCACATATAAGTGAGAGCATGCAGTATTATGTCTTTCTGTGCCTGGTTTATTATCCTTATTTCACTTAGCATGATATTCTTTAGACCTATCCATGCTGTCTCAAAAGACAGAATTTCCTTCTTTCTGTTTGTGTGTTTTTTGAGATAAGGTCTTGCTACGCAGTTCAGGTTGGCCTTGAACTCACAGGCAATTTTCTGGCTTCAGCCTCCTCAGTGCTAGGATTACAGGTGTGCACCACCCGTCCCAGTTAATTTCCTTTTTTGTTTTGTTTTCTGAGACAAGGTTTATGCTATGTAATTCAGGTTGGCCTTGAACTCACTATGTAGCCCAGGCTGTCCTCAAATTCTCCCTAAGCCTCCCATGGTGTGCGCCACCATGCCCAGCTAATTTCCTCCTTTTAAAAGGCTGGTGAAAGATTGGGGAGGGAGCCTCAGTGGTAGAGTTATCATGTGGGATGCCCTGGATTCAATGCCCAACACAAGTGGTGGCGAACCTATGGCACACATGCTTCAATGGGCACACAGAGCCCTCTGTTGGCACGTGAGCCAAGTTGCCCCAGCAGCTGAGCATCAGATAACAGTTGTTTTTTCTAAATTAAAACCTCAGTATTCAGGTTAAATTGGTCATTTGTGATAAATAAGTGGGTTTTGGGTTGCAGTTTGGGCATTTGGTCTCTAAAAGGTTCACTGTCACTGCCATATATTCAACAATTTAGAAGAATGGATTAATTCCTCAAAAACAACAAACTAGCAAAATTTTAAAAAAATTCACATTCATTGCGTCTTTTCATCCCGTGAGACATCCTTGTAAGGCAAGTGTTCATTTAATAAATGAAAAGAGACTAAAGCAAAAGCCTAAAGTCAGGGACTTAAAATTATTTTCTCAGAGCCATGAAGACTGAAAAAGAAGCTTCACAACTTTCTTTTTTTCACTGTTATAATTCCAGTATTAGGACCAGTGCAAGCAAATACCAGGGTCAATAAATATATGTTAAACAATTACTAAAAAATTATAACATCTTTGGATCTGTTTCCTCATCTGTAAGTGGAGATAGTAAAATACTTCTCTTTGCTTTGAACACATTCAGCCCATCCTTCTTACCACTTTATTTATTTATTTGAGACAGGGTCTGTGTAGTTCAGGTCAGTCTTCAACTCACTATGTAGTCCAGGCTGGCCTCAAACTCGCTGCCATTTTCCTGCCTCAGCTTTCCAAATGCTGGGATTACAGGAGTGCAGCACCATGCCTGGCCATCTTCCTAAAATCAGAAATCATGTTCTTAATTTTCAATAATTCATTCTTGTTCTTTGTGCCTTTTTTATAAAAAAATGAAATATTAAAATATTTTTTAAATGAAATGTTAAATATAAAAAAAAAAAAATAAGTCAGATCCTAGCCTGGGCAACTTAGCTTAGTGAGACACTGTTGCAAAATATAAAATGGCTGGGGATATAGCTCAATCTGAAGGCCCTGGGTTCAATTCCCAGTATGGAATGGGGCTGGGAGTGGAATACAAAAAAGCTCTCTGAAATAGAGTACATTAAAAAAAGATAAATTCTACAACTAACATTATTCTTAATGGTGAAAGACAATGCTTTTCCTCTACGGTTGAGAATAAGGAAGGGATATTCACTCATGCTGCTCTTACTCAATACAGCAGTGGCAATACTACTAGCCAGCCCAATGAGATAAAAAGAAACAAAAATCAGATGGTTTGAAAAACAAAAGAAAAGAAAGGAATGCCTATTTGTATATGAGTTGACATTCATGTGGAAAATTCTAAGAAATTTACAGAAAAATTCCTAGAACCAACAGGTCAATTCAGTAGTCACACATCACAAAATGAACAGACAGTAATAGCCAATTACAAACCTGGGAGCTCCGATTGCAAAATAAAAAAGGGCTAGGAATGTAGGGCTGGGCTCACTGGGTTCAATCTCCAGTACTGCAATAAAAAAGAAATAAAAACATAGGCCTGGGAATGTCCCTCAGTGGAAGAGCAATTGGGCGAAGGGGTTCTTCAATTAGTGATACCGAGATTTTCTGTTTACAAAATTAACATACACAACACACTTTCAAGCCACCCTGATTTTGAAAAATTGAAGGGTGAGATTTCAAATTGCTCCACAAAGCTGAAATGTTCCTGTGGGGAAAGACATTTCAATTAACTGTGCAATTGCCAGAGCAAGACAATACTGGTATTTTTGTAGGCAATTAATGTCCTTATACTGGAATAAATGTCCTTTTACCGAGGAATACAGAAAAAGCAGATGGCAGTTGCTACTGTTTTATAAACAAATGGGATATGATGAACTGGGCATGATGGGTTTAAGTGAAGTGACAGAAAACTCAGCATATTTTGGAAATTCCTGTCTTGAAATAATCTCGCATGTGTACTATATAAATATGAAGCTACCCCTTTGGTTTTCTGTATTCACCGTACATATGATAAACTTTGCTATCAGATGTTCAAGTAAATTTTAAGCTGGCATCTTATTGCTAAATTATCTGAAAGAGGGACTATCCTACTTTTTGTGTGCTTTCACTACTCACTTTGTCAAAAGGAGAAAGCTTTCATTCTTCAATACCTGGATATAAGTACATTTCCTCAATTCTAACTTGTGCTTTTTATTATTGCTATTGTTAATTATGTTAACAGTTTTAAGATGAAAGTATTTTTCGCCTTTTTTTTAATCCTCCAAAAACTATTAAATGATCTTTTGTGGTGCTGGAGATTGAATACTGGGCTTTTGCGCTGAGCTGCATTCCCATCCTATTGTCTGTTTTTAAATTTGGAGACAGTCTCATTAAATTGTCCAGGCTGGGCCTGAATTTAAGACCCTCCTGCCTCAGCCTCCCAGGGTGCTTGGGATGCCAGGCATTTGCTACCATGCCCAGTAAACTATTTTACAGTCAAGATAACAAATGCACTAGCTACAGATTATTTTACCCGGAGGGTCAAAGTTTGTAGTTCTACAACCTAAAATCTCTTGCAAAATGTTTTTTCTGGTATCATCAGTCCATGGGAGTAATGGGGAAAGGGTTAATACCACCTTTTTGTTCTTTCAGAAAGACACAACGAGACTCCAGAAACCTGTCTGGAGTCTGCAAAGAAATCACAAATCATCTGGAGCCCAATTTTCCAATCCCAAGTGGCACTCTGACCGGCCCAGAGGACAACCTTATCCCACAGTAAAAAAGAGATCAGCATAGCTATCTCATCGGAAGGCTTTTGGTTTTAACCCGCCTAGGTCACCAAGGGCAGCGCCAGACCATACCCTAGCCCCAATCGTTTGCCTCTAGCCCTAGTTGCTTACGCGTAGTTCGCATCCAGCGCAGGAGCGCCGGTCGATCTGCCGGAGCCACAGTGTCTAGCAACTGAAGTATTGCTCGCCGTGCGGAGCGGAATTCCATGCTGCACTGATCCACCGCAGTTGGTAAATTCACATTGCGCACGCGCAAATAGACAGGGACTTCGGCCTCAGCTCCGCGTGGACCCCAAGCTCCGCCCCCTCCTGAGTTCCCACGTGCGCTTCCGTCAGTCTAAATTACTTTTTCTTAAGGTGGCTCCTCTAGGCCTGATTTCACCCCAAGAATACGTCTCGGGAGACATTATTTTACTACTAATTGTGCTGCCGCAGTTATCCAGCTGTTATAAAAGTGAATCTAAAAGCCATCAAGGAAAGAAACACATTTCCAAAGGCTTTCAGAAGAAAAACCAGAGGAACGCGGCGCTGTGACCCGGAAGCGGAAGTGCACGCTCCCCGGGAAAGGCTGGACCTCGCCGAGTGATGACGTCTCCTCATTGGGCGGAAGATTGGCTGGCAGTCGTCGGTCCTCCAGCTGGTGGGAGTTAGCGTCGCAGCACTGGGTGCCGGGACCCTACTTCCTACTGTTGGAGAAGCTGGGTTGTGAAGTAGTGCCTGCTGTCTGCTCCAAGCTTTCCTGGTCTTCCTCGCAAGGCGTGGGGACTCGCTAAGGACTCCCCGGCCCTTTAGGGCCACGGCCTTAGCAGTGTCTTTTGGGGTAAGTGTGCTTTTCCTCTGTTCAGACTGTGGAGGGGCATCTCCAGCCCTGGTGACAGGGCGGGAGACTCCTCAGGAAAACTGTTTCCCTCCCCACTGATTGTCATCGCCAAGTCTGATGTGCTCTGGCCCTTCTTCATCTGGTGTCTTCCATCAGAAGTTTTTCCAAAAGGTGCGCTGTGACCCTTTACACTGTCTTCAGATTGACAGAGCCAAGTAAGATGTAGGCATTGTAGGCTTTACCCTTTTGTTTGCTTTCCTGAGCAAGTTTAGATGCCGGTACTTCCCTGAAAATCTTTTGATGTTCAGTGCCGTTGATAAGATATACGGGTGGCTTTCTGTGTATACCGTTTGACACTACTGACCATCCATTTCTTAAAACTTTGCTGTTTGCTTTCTTGATGCTGTCCTCACAGCATCTTTTGTGATTCTTTAGTAAACTTAATTCAACAAAATATTTACCTGTGGTTAACCATAAGGATACAGATGAATGATGCAAACTCTGCCATTGAGAAACTAACAGTGCAGGAGAGAGGGGCAGATAAATAATAGCCTGTTTCTTCATCTATCTAATAGGCTATCATGAGGATGAGGGAAGATTAGGTAATGTTTGACACAGTGCCCAAACAACAATGTGGTGCCAAAGAAGAGGGAGATAGTTCCCTCAAACCCTGGTACCCTCAGTTTTTTAATATATATAAACAAAGAATATTTTCTAACAATACAGATGCAAAAGAATTTTAAGGTCTTCCTTCCGAACGGTGCTACTAACAGTGCATCTGAGATAGATGGAATTACAGAAGTACTGTTTGGAAAATGGACACACCAGAGCAAGGACCTGATTTCGATCCCCACTACCAAAAAAAAGTCTGTTTGGAAAATAGTACCAGCATACTGTAAGATAACCATAAGTAGTAGCATTTATTTCTTTTTACTTGATTTTCTTCAGTGTGCTTTTTTGGGGGAACGGAAGGGAGTTAGTGAAATCTGTGTTAGATTACTTTTATTTTAGTCGATTCTCTCTCCTTTTAGCTGGGCCTTAGTCATTGCTGCAACCCGTAGTCTTCCGCAAACACACCTTCTTGAGAGTTCCCATCTACATCTATGACTTCCATAGAGTCATCTTTTTTTTGCGGGGGGGTTACAGGGGATCGAACTCAGGTCTTTGCAGTTGCAAGGCAGGCGGCGGAACCACTGAGCTAAATGCCCAGCCCGCGTCATCCTTTTATGCCAACCATTTCCACCCCATTTCTGTAGCTTCCTTGTTCAGAATGGTAATTATGGGCTTTCCACAGACTGAATAGGCACAAAGCCAAATGCACTATCTCCATTTTCCTTTTTTCACTATGACGTATCATACATGCAAAAGTGTATAAAAGCAGTGATTCTCAGTGTGTTGTCTTTGAGCTCTTTATATGTTGAATTTTTAAAAGGGTAAGTTGGGTGTGGAGGCATAGGCCTGAAATCGCAACTACTAGGGAGGCCAAGGTAGGAAGATTGCTTGAGCCCAGGAGTTTGAGACCACCCTGGGCAACCGAGTGGAAAACCCATATCAGAAAAACAAAACAAAAAAGGGTAATACAATGAACACATCTAACTTAATCAGAGTCCCCTTTTGCCTTCTGTTCATTGGTTAATGGCATCACTAGCCAGCTGGTTATTTAAGCTAAAGATAGTGGAGTTATTTTTGCGGTTCCTCCTTGACAATTTGGACGTTAGGTCATGTAGATTCTGCTTCTTTGATTCCAGCCTCCTCTTACCGCTTGCCTTCTTTTTCCGTGGTTCAAGCACACACCTCTTTCTAGTAGACTTTTGGAGTGTAGCTAGTGCTTGTAGTCTCCTGATTCCTGAATCTTTCACTCAGATGTATTTGCTACATTGTCTCTAAAGATATTTTTATTATATTATATCGATGTATATATTTTCGACAAGGTCTTGTTATGTTGCCCTGGCTGACCTTGAACTCTGCTGAAGTAATCCTGCTTTGTTTGGATATGTGGTCTTTTTTTCTCCTGGATACATACTTGGAGTAGAATTTCTGGGTCTTGTAGCAACTCTGTTTAACATTTTGAGAAATTGCCAACTGTTTTCTAAAAGACTTTGCTGCTTTATTCCCACCAGCAGTGAGGGAAGGTTCTGATTTCTTATATGCCCGCCAAGACTTGTTATTTTGTCTTTTTGCTTTAGCTATCTTAGTAGCTATAAAATGATATTTTATCATAGTTTTGATTTACAAAACTGATGTAATTTTTTGATGTTTTTAGACTGTATGTTTTATAGTCTTCCTTTTGCATTTAAACATTTTAGCATTAACAAGCATATTTTCTTTCTTTTTTTTTTAAACAAGTGTATTTCCAAAAAACTGTCTCCCATTTCTGTTTCCCCTTCTACTTTCCCCCAAGCCATAATTCTTGTGGAAACTTGCCTAAATTATATACCTAGAAAATAAAATCTGTAGGAGTATATTTCAAATTATTATTGATTGTTACCAGAGGATGGGAGTGAGTAGGATTAGGGGAACTATGTTTTCTACCTTAAGTATTGCTATAAGACCTAAATTTTTGCAATAAACATGTATCCTCTTATAATTGCCAAGTATAAAGCTGAATTATTTCCTTGGAGGACTAAGTAAATTCATCATGAAAAACAGTTCCTAAGTTTGAAAGTCATTATATAATAGTCAAATATAATAATTTATTAAATAAAACAACTAAAGGTATTGTGTGCAGTAAATTTACTTTTCTGTGATCCTAGATGACGAGTATATATATATACTCTACAGGATTTTATTTTTTATTACTTTTTAATGTGAGTAAAGAGCTGATTTATTCTGTGCAGGATTTTTAAAAGTACATTTGTTTTTATGTTAGGAAAACAAGTACTGGTTGTGTGTTTTTCACTAGTTTATAAAAAATGTGTTACATAGAGATTTGTTATTGAGTCTAATACTGATTCAGAAAGTTATTGAGAGAGTGTGGTGGCACATGTCTCTAATCCCAGCTACTCAGGAGGCTGAGGTAGGAGGTTCACAAGTTAGTGAGACACTGTCTCAAAGTATAAAATTAAAAGGGCTGAGAATGTAGCTTAGTGGTACAGCTCCCCTGGGTATGAGTGCCAGTATCACCATCCCTGAAAAAAAAAAAAAAGGCACAGGTTTAGAAGGGTTTAGAAGAACTTTCTGGTAGGGATCTCATTGTGATAAGATTTGAAATCTCTGATCATTAGTTTATAAGTAGACCAGGCAAGGTTTGGACAGGAATACTTGTGTTTATGCAGAGAAAGATAGCTTAATAGACTGTATGTCTTATTGAATGACAACTAGGTACTTGCAATTGGCACTTAATGTTTAGACTCCAGGGGGTGGTTACTGGAAAATAAGTAGGATCTGCAGTTTAGTGTGGAATTCTCAAATTCAGATGATATGGGCAGAGCTAGTTGAAATCATTCAAGAAAGGAAGTTAGTATCGCTAGCACTTAACAGTTTTATATGTACCCTCTTAATTAATCCTCACCACAGCCTTAAGGGTAACTGCCTGGGTAATGGTATTGCCTCCACTTTGCAGGTGAAGACAGTGAGGCTCAGAGAGGTTAAGTAATTGCCCACAGTAACATGGACAGTGTATATCAGAGCTGGGATTTGAAACCAAGTCTATCAGACTCCAAAGCCCAGGCTCTTTCTAGTACTTCATGCTGCAGCTAGTAAGTACTGGCCCTATGCTTGCCTTACTTGGGGGACCCCAATCTTAAACCTGTTTCTGTCAGTCACTATCCAACTCCCATGTAGCATCCTGTTAGAAGAACCTGTGACTTGGGCCAAGACCAGTCCTCATATGGATTGCTGTGCTACTTCCTGGCTCTTCTGGACGTGGCCAATACTCTTCTCAAAGAGGAATTGTGCACCTTTGCTTTCAAAATCTGATTTTCTCTATTATAGTATAACAGCAAAAATTCTCCCTCAAATTTTCCAACAGGTATATTTATCCTTACTATTTAACAAACCACTCATACTCAAGGGCAGTGGTGGCCGACCTATATAGCACATGTGCCGCAGCAGGCTGTTTTAATCATTGAAAGTTTTGAAAGGTTTGACATCGCCGCTGCAGAACTTAAGGCTGTGCAATCAAAGGGCTGTAGAAAGTCTTTTTGTTTTTGTTTTTTTGTTTTGTTTTGTTTTTGGTACCAGAGATTGAACTTGGGACCTTGTGCTTGCGAAGCAGGGCGAAACCACTGAGCTAAATCCCTGGATTTTTTGTTTGTTTGTTTGCTTGTTTGGTACCTGGGATCGAATGTCTTTTTGGCTTTTTTGGAGGGGATGGCTGTTCTATTCCCTACTTACTCTGCTAGATCATAAAAGTGTTGTGAGGCTAAAATGAGATAATAGATGTTAAACTATAAAATGTATTATGCAGTAGTTGCTTTTCCATTTTAAAAGCCCCATCCAAGTAGAGATGATGCTTTTGTAAACTTCTGGCGAACACAGATTTATAAATGTTTATAAACACCCAAATATAAATATATATATTGTTAAAAATTAAAATATCAATGCATATTAATATTTAACATATGGTTAATTTACTTATATTTTATTATATATTAAATGTAATTTGGGGGGGTTGAGACAGGGTCTCACTATGTAGTTGAGCCTGGTGTGGAACTCACTATGTAGCCCAAGCTGCTCTCAACTCACAGCAGTCCTCCTGCCTCAGCCTCCCAAGTGCTGGGATTACAGGCATGCACCACCACGCTTGGATAAATGTAAAATTATTTAAATGTAAATCTCTACAAATCTTAGCCAAGGAAATTTTGAGCAAATATGCTTAAAATGTAAGGTACTGCAATTTGAGAGTAAGATTTAGCTATTAACAACAAAAGTTTTGCATTTAAGTGTGCATTTTAGAACAATGTAAGGTCATTTTTTTTCTTTTTTTAGTATCAGGAATTGAACTCAGGACCTTGCACTTGCCAGGCAGGTGTGGCACCACTGAGCTACATCCCCTGCCCTAAGTATGGTAGCTTCTTGAAGAGTAAGGAGGGAAACTCTGAAAAGTTATAAGGATGCACACCTCTAATTCCACTATTCTGGGAGGTTGAGATAGGATCATGCAATTTAAGCCCATCCTGCAACTTAGTGATACCCTGTTTCAAAAAAAAGGAGGGTGGGGGCTGGATATGTAGCTAAATGTGAAGGCGTAATGATAAATAAATATTAAATGTACAAAATCAATTACTTAGGTCCTTGAACATCTTTTGATTTGTCATAGTATATTAGTTTATTTTAGTGACCTTTTAAGAGATATTTGTGGGCCGGAGATTTAGCTCAGTGGTTCAGCTGCCTGCCTCTTAAGCACAAGATCCTGAGTTTGATCCCTGGTACCAAAAACAAAAAAGAGGTATTTGTAATTCTTTTGATGACTTTGCTTCCCTAGCCTTGCTTTTTCCAAAGATCTTAAATACGTCATTCATTCATAAAGTTCATTGTTACTAAGGGGTTTCTATATAAGAATGAGGGTAGTTAAAGCACTGAGCTCATAGTAGAAACCAAAAGAGTCAAAAATTCCTACCTCATGTAGCTTACATATCAGTATGGGGATTATAGACCACAAATAATCTAAATAAATCATGGCAGTTAATAGAATACTGAGGGGAAAAGGGGGAGGGATTACAATTTTAAATGAGCTATTAGAAGCCCAAGGACCTGAGTTCATTCCCTAGTACCAAACAAAAAAAAGCAATTAGAGAAGACCTTATTGAGAATGGCACCTGGACAGAAATCTGGAGGAGGTAATGGGGAGCAGCCATGTGTAGTCAGCCAGGGAAAGAGCGAGCTGGCTGGTACTGAGGCCCTGAGGGACAGCAGGAGCAGGGATTCAACATAATTAAAAAGGAGTGTGGCTGGGCGTGGTGGCGCACACCAGTAATCCCAGCACCTGGGAGGCTGAGGCAGGAGGATCACTGTGAGTTCAAGACCAATCTGGGCTACGTAATGAGTTCCAGTTCAGTCTCAACTACATAGTGAGACCTTGTCTCAAGAAAAAAAACAAAAACAAAAAACAAACAAACAAACAAAAAAACAAAACCAAAAAAACGTGTGTGTCTGTATGTGTGGGTTTGTATTTGGAGGTACCTTGAAGCCCGTTTCTAGGACTTTACCTCTGTAGTGGAAAGTCATTGAGATTTAAGCAGAATTAAAATTTAGATACAGGACCAGGATTTTCAGAAGTACATCTTTGGAAACTGCCAAGTAAAAGGTATTATCAGGTGTTCTTAGTCCTCTACTGATCTCAGACTCAAGGCGATCCTCCTGCCTTAGCCTTCCAAGTGCTGAAATTACAGGCATGTGCCACCATGCCCCAAAGTGGAAGTTTTTATATGGAAATATATTTTATAGTATGCTGCTAATAAGTATTTATATGTATGAGGAAAAGTGTGTGAGAACTTCACAGTTTTTTTAATCTAAAAGGATCACTTAATATGGAGAGTTAGTTTTATATGTAAGAGTTAACCAGTATAGCTTTGAAAATGGATGATCTGTTTATGACATGTTCCCTAAAAAAAAGTTAATTGTGCTGTCATAAATAGAATTCTGTCACTTCTGGTGAAATTCTCTTACTTCTGATAACACATGGTGAAAGAGGTGAACTGAAACGTGAATCACATTTCCTCCATGAAAAATAGCTACTTCATATTATTTAATAAATATGGCATAAGAAATAAATCCTGATCTTTTCTATGAAGCAGGTTAACCATGTAATTGTAAAAAACTTGTGGTAAGCAATTTTTTTTAAATTTCATCATGTTAGTAGTAATGATTTTTAACTTCTAAGTTATTAAATTTTACTTGAGTAGAAGTATAACCTTTAATTTATAGGTCAACCTGGGAAATCTCTTTGTCAGTTTTATATTCTAGTGTACTTTTTCCCCCTTTGACTCCCATTACCTTTTTATTTTCCCTGTGGTGAGTGAGTCAGCTATTCTGGTCCCATTTGTCTTATTTTTAATCCCCCATGTACTGTGTAGACAGAATCGAGTCTGGGTAATTTTCTTTGGCTAAATTAAACTAGACTAGCTTGAAAGGTTAGTAGAACAGTTGTTTTGAACAGTGAACTTTTGGGGGGGCCAATATTTTATATTAGATAATTGATATTCCTTAAAACTTGGTTTTCAGAGCTCTTTATTTCCTTTTAACTGTATAGCCCTCTGTTCTGACCAGATATTTTGTTTCTGTCCCCAGATAATACCAGTAATCTGTAAGCAGGGCGTACATGTGAGGCCTAAGTCTGTCCCAGACTTTCCCATGTGTCCATTTCCGCTTATGTTGTTTCATACTTCTCAAGCTTCCTTTTACCCTCTTCTCCATTTGTCCAAATCCTTCCCATATTTCAGAACCAAAGTCCCGTCAGCCTATTCAGTTTATCTTGGCCTAAAATTAGTCTCTCTTCTTCTGGATTTTTATAGAAATAATTTCACAGTTGACCATAAACCTTTATTCCTAAACCTTAGTTCACTTGTAATTTGTAAGATTTATCCAGAAAAAGAAAACCAGTAGAGGGTAGGGGCGAGAGAAAATATAATAAATTGGCATTTATTATAAGAATTTACGCAGGCAGTTAGAGAAGCTGACAAATCCCTAAATCTACAGGAGAAGCTGGCAAGCTAGAGACCCAGGAGAGTCCATGGTGTAATTCAGTTCAAAGGCTATCAGGCTTGAAACTCAGGAAGCATTTCAGTTTGAAGAGAGGAAAAAGCCAATATCTTGGTTTATTTTGCTGTTCATTAGTGTGCCTTGGCCAGCTAATACTCATTTTAAAGACAGGGAATGCAAACCATATTTGCTTTTACCATCTGTGAGTCTTTTTTGGTTTTTTGAGACAAGGCATCACTACTAACTGTGTATACCAGGCTGACCTCAAACTCACATTGATTCTCCTGCCTCAGCCTCCTGAGTGCTAGGACTACAGGCATGTGCCAGCAAAGTTCTTGCATGGGCTTGCGGTTTAGCTCATTGGTGCTGCCACCTGCCTCAAAAGTGCAATGTCTTGAGTTCGATCCTCAGTATCCCCCACAAAAAAAAGAATGTCATAAGTTCTTGCATCCTTACGTGTAATAGGAACATTAGTATACTGCATAAAACCATAACATATTAGGGCTAGAAAGGATTTTTTTTGGGGTACTGGGAATCGAACTCAGGACCTAGTGCTTATGAGGTAGGCATTGTAACACTGAGCTGAATGCCTAGCCCAGGGCTAAAATTTTTGAAGTTATTTTTAGAATTGTAATCAGAAGTAGCTTTGAAGTAGGAATAATATCTTTCCACTTAGTGGTTGGGAGAATAAAATGAAATAATGTAATGGAATAACAGCACAGTGCCTGTCATATAGTGAAACAGTGCTAGAAAAAAATAAGTCATTTATTAAAATATTATTCCTTTTTTTCCCTTGGCTTAGGAATAAAAATCAAAATAGTGCAGGATTCTGTAATATGAGGAATTAGGCAATATTCTTGGAGATTTTTACCTCTGTTACTCTTTTCATTTAAAAACATGCATGATACATGAGTTGTTCATATTCCCAAGTATTGAGCATATTCAATTTGAGATTGTGTATTTCTGAGAAATGGACATTATTATTTGAGACCGGGTCTTCCTATGTATTTCGGGCTGACCTCAAACTTGGGGTGGTCCTCTTGCCTCAGCCTCCTGAGTGTTTGGACAGGTATACCCCACCATGCCTTGCTCAAAAAGGTATTACTTGCTATGTTACTGATTCATAGATGAGATTCTAATTACATATTCAAACCTATGACATTATAATCAATGACTTTTTTTTTTGTCAGCTTTAATTGAGTTTATTGGTACATTTTAGGGATACAGTACAGTTACATTCATTGTTGGGATCTTGTACCTCCACATGACAAGTCTTGATTCTCATTTTTTCCCCTTACCCCTGCCCTCCCTTCACCCCCTCCTCCCCTCCCCATCTACAAATACTTTATTTCCATCTTTTCATTATCTCACATATTTTTCTTTTCCCTTATTACCCTTCCCCTACTCATCCCACCTTCCCTACACCTTTAGCTCCTTTCTTCCCTTTTCGAAATGTCAGTAATATTATTAGGATCTTCTGTATTATTGCAGATTATTCACACCAGAGAAACTATTTGGTATTTACACATGTGTGACTTATTTCACTTAGGAGTATATCTTCAATATGTATCCATTTTCCTATGAATGAATCTATTATCAATGACTTTTTGTCTTTTGGATATGAGTATGTTAAAGCTGTAGTTGAAATCATAGTATCTAAATAATAGAATATTTCAATTTGAACTTAAAATGTATTTGTCTTTAGAAGTCTTCAGTCACAGAAGATGAATTGTTTTCAAGTAATTTTTTTTTTCTTTCTCTAGTTCCTCATAAACACATCTTAAAACCTTCAAGATGGTTTTAGCAGATCTTGGAAGAAAAATAACATCAGCATTACGCTCACTGAGCAATGCCACCATTATCAATGAAGAGGTATGTAAAATACTATGTGAGATATATATGATTGTACATCCTCACTAGGGATCTGGATTAATAGTAATCTATGTATTTATTTTGATATATATTTAATACTGTACTTACAGAAAATTAATTTTCTTTCTTTCTTTCTTTCTTTCTTTCTTTCTTTCTTTCTTTCTTTCTTTCTTTCTTTTTTTTTTTGGTGCTGGGGATCAAACTCAGGGCCATGTGATTGCCAGGTGCAGCACCACTGAGCTAAATCCCTGGCCCTAAAATTAAGTAATTTTCTTGAGAAATCAATGAAAAAAAAGTCAAATTTTGACCAGTGCCTATAACTTCATTGTCCTGCTCCTTACTTCTTGGCTAGGCATGTGTTTCTCTGACTTTTCTCAGTGACTTATTTAGCATTCTTCTTAGGAAAAGCTAATATTTTCATCTTGATTAGCTTGATTCCTTTTCTCTGAAATCTTCAGTTTTTGGACATTTTGTAAAAATGACTGCTTATATCTGAAATACTCTTTTGCCTGAGTTTATTGTTTTAAAAAACTTTTTCCTGATCCTTTTTTGCTCCTGCTTACCTTAATGGCTTATTTTCCCTCATTGTATCTCATTTAATGTCTTATTAATTGAAAGAAGATGTTGTAGTTTACCAGTATACATTGTATTTTGCAGTAACAATGGAAAAAGAATTGAATTTCATGTTAGGACCTTTATTGTTTGTTTTTTGTTTTTTGTTTTTTGGGGCAGGGTCTCACTATGTAGTGAGACTGACCTGGAATTCACTATGTAGTTTAGGCTGGTCTCGAACTCACAGTCACAGCAATCCTCCTGCCTCAGCCTCCCGAGTGCTGGGATTACAGGCGTGCGCCACCACACCCAGCAGGACCTTTATTATAGTCATACTTCAGCTATTTAGTGGCTATGTAATATAAATTTGGGTGACTCAATCTCAGAGTCTTTAATGTATAGGATAGGAAAATAGTATTTACTTTACAAAATGGTTTTAAAGATTAACTGAACTAATAGATTAAAAATGCTTTTTTAACTTGGAAGTTTGAAAAAATTCTAATATAGAATTTGGTATCAACACGTTAGCAAACTAATGGAATTAAATAATTTTGAAGCCATCTTAGAAATCACTTAGTCTAACTTCTCAGCAGAAACAAAATGTTTCTCATGTTTATTTATTGGAATTAGATGTATTTTATTCCTCTAATTCCTTATCCAAGGTTTTTGAAGAATTTTTATTAAATTAGAAATCAGAGCTGGGCATAGTAGTATACACCTGTAATCCCAGCAGCTGAGAGGGCAGAGACGGGAGAATCCCAAGTTTGAGTCCAGCCTAGAGAACTTAGCAAGACTTTGTCCCAGGACACAATAAAATAGTAAAATAAAATTGAAAATAAAAAATAAAAATGGGCTGCTGATGTACCTTGGTGGGCAGGTCCCTCTGGAGTTGATCCATAGCAGCCCCCCGCAAAAGTCGTTTAAATCAAACTCTTGTAATGCAGAATAAATAAAACAATAGTTTCCCAAAGTTTTTGCTGTTATGTAGTCCTTAATCTATTTGCATTATTAGTAGAGAATAAGGAAAGCTAAACTTGATGGGAAGTGGGATAATAGGTCTTTCTTGAATTGGGTAGTTTTCTGTTCTTGGTTTATTCTGCTAGCACATTAACAAGGAGAAATTCCTCTAAGGAAAGATCAGTTCCAGCTTTATTGGACCCCTTTACTGAGGAGTAGAGAAACCTAAGAAGTATCTGTAGAGCTTATGTAGTGAGTTGAAGGAGAGAATTCATTCAAGAAATATTTGAGAGGCCAGGGATTTAGCTCAGTGTTCCCACTGCCTGTCTTGCAAGCACAGGGTCCCAAGTTTGATCCCTGGTACATAAAAAAAAAAAAATGTATTTGAGGGTCTTTTTGCTGGCAACAGAGATAATGCAGTGAGCAAAATAGACTAAACCTCATCTCCTTGTAAGCTTATATTTGGTTATGCAAGCACTTAGGTGTCTGAGAAGCTAAAGCTTCATATTTTCTTAAGACTTTGTGCACTTTTAACCATAGTGCCTTACAACCAAATAAACATATGAGAAGGGCAGTTATTAGTGGTAGATAGTTTTCTTTCCATCTTTATTCTTTTGCTGTGAGGAGAAGTGGTAAGACTGGTAATGTGCTGCATTTTCCTTCATGGTAGTCCAATGAAGAAAAGCGGATATATCATGTAAATGTACAAGATCCCAATAATGAATGTAACTGTACTATACACCTAAAATGTACCAATACACTCAATGAGGAAAAAAAAAGAAAAGAAAAGCGGATACTGTGAATATATGCCATTGTCTGTTAGTATCAGAGCTCTTCAGTGACATAGAAAACGTCACTGGCACCATCTACTGTGTATAACTTTCTTTGGCTTGTATATTATTTTGGTTAGTACCTTATTTTTATATTAAAAAATTTTTTATTAGCATGTACAGGTTTGTAGTATGTAATGATTACATTCATTATGGGGAGTTGAAACGTGTGTAACATATCTTAATTCTTTTTCCTTCCCTTCCCCATCCTCTCCCTATTACTTTAATATAGGAATAAAATTGAGGAGATTAATACTTGGTAGTATAAAACTATACAGGATGTCTTCTTTTTGTTGTACTGGGGTTCAAACTCAGGCACAGGACCACTGAGTTTCATTCCCCAGCCCTAGGATGTCTTATTTTGACAAGAGAACTGAATAAAGACCACCTTTGTTGTTGTTGGGTTTTTTTTTTTTTTTTTTTTTTTTTTTTTTTTTTTTTTTTTTTTTTTTTTTTTTTTTTGGTTTTTTGGTTTTTTGAGACAGGGCCTCACTATGTAGTTGAGCTTGATATGGGACCCACTATGTAGCCCAGGCTGGTCTCGAACTCACATCGATCCTCCTGCCTCAGCCTCCCGAGTGCTGGGATTACAGGCGTGCACCACCACACCCAGTTTTTGAATAAAGACCTTTGTATTTCATGTTGTGGTATAGTTTTTTATCTTTATTAAGCTGTGGTAGTATAGTATATGATAATTGATCAACCATTGTCTTTTATATAATTTAAAATACTACATTGAGTAATTTAAATTTTTATTTATTTATTTACAGGTATTAAATGCTATGCTAAAAGAAGTATGTACAGCATTATTGGAAGCGGATGTTAATATTAAACTAGTGAAGCAACTAAGAGAAAATGTTAAGTAAGTTGAATCAATTAGATAAAAAACAGGCAGAACTAAGTTTAGTTTACTGGAGGACAAATTAATATTTATAATTTAACTGAAAGTCTTGAAAAACTAACCAAAGTCTTGCATCAAATATTTTATGGTATAGTCTTTATAAATCTGTAGTAATAATTGGAACCTATTAATATGAGTGGTTGAAAGATCTTACATCTTGCATTTTGTGGAATAGAACTTTTTCGGAGTGTCTTCACTGACTTTTCTCTTTTCTATCCCAAACACCACCACTAAAGATCTGCTATTGATCTTGAAGAGATGGCATCTGGTCTAAACAAGAGAAAAATGATTCAGCATGCTGTGTTTAAAGAACTTGTGAAGGTAAAAGTATATTAGATTGTGCTGATTTTGTAGAGTCAATGGGTGAAAGTACACAGGAACTGTAAACATACTGTGTCAGTCTTTTAAAATATATTCTTACTAGAACTAAAATATTGAAGGATTATTAATTTTTCTGAAGCAGACTGTTTTATAGACTTTACTGAGTATAGTAAAATACAGACTTTTCAGAAGACTATGAAGTTTGTACTGTCCCTGCCCCTGCAAAAAATGTCAAAGCAAATTGCAGAGTGAAACTTCATTACAGATTGATAGAAGAGCCTCTGAGTTTTTTCTCCCTTGCTAGCAGCTATTGGCTAATGATAGCCCTCCTTCTTTGTATAGGAAAATCACACCTGACAAGTATTTTTTCTACATCTTTCATTGAATAAAGAATTTTCTTTATAAAGACCAAATATCTGACATCTTCACTAGATTATGAGAACTTTGGATTAGTAAATTTATTTTCAAATAGTAAATACAGCTTTCTGCCCTCCCTCACATTGGAATTATTATTGCTACTGTTGTCACATAAATTATACTGAAGATCTTAGAGCTTTTATTTTGTGTTTTATTATTTCATTTTTTGGTTTTTTGAGACAAGGTCTCATGGTGTAGTTCAGGCTGATTTTTAACTCATTGTGCAGCCAGGCTGGTCTCAAACTTACAGCATTCTTCCAGCCTCACCCTCCCAAGTACTAGGATTGCAAGCATGGGCCACCATGCCTGGCGTTAGAGCTTTTAAAATATACACAAGCTTAATAGTAGAAATGAAAAAAAAAGAAAGGAACTGTCAGGAAAAATTTTAAGAGCAACAGATACCTTCTAGTGGTTTACTAATATTTTTTCCTACATTGTGTGAATACTTTCATTTACACTTTTAATATCAGTGCTGATATATATTTTGGAAAAGTCCAGTTATCTCAGATAACTGTCATTTCAGTTTAGTTCAGTAGGGTAATTTTTTAAAAATGTAGACCTCTAAGAAGCAAAGCACTTTACTGCTTATTTTGTAGTTGAGAAAAGTCACCTAGTCAGTGATGGACCCACATGTAGTCTCCAGAGTCCTTATGTGGGACTTACTGCGCTATGTTTAGTAATTGCTTTCTATCTAGTGCCTGAGAGCAGAACAGGGAGAGTAGTAATCGTTATTGTTAGGGGTTGTTCCCCATGGGCAATTGTGGAACATTGGAGTGCTTCATTAAGAAACTTTGTTGAGTCCCCATTTTATCTAGGCATTGCCACTCACAGTGGAGATGACGCAACTGGTCTTTATATAGAAGGTGCCCATAGTCTAGAGCGGTGGTGCACAAAGCAGTTAAAACATTTTTATAATAATACCAGGACATTATTTGCCCCTTTTTTGGTGGTACTAGTGATCAGACCTAAGTTGCAAAGAATAAAACTTTATTACAAATTAATTGATAAAAGAGCCTCTCTGAGGTTATTCTCTTTTAGTATCAATTACTACCTAGTGATAGCTCTACTTTTTTGTATAGGAAAAATCATACCTGACAAATATATATTTTTTAAACTTTTTGTCGTATAAAGAAATGGGAAGTTGCCAGACGTGGTGGCACACACCTGTAATCCCAGCACTAGGGAGGCTGAGGCAGGAGAATCGCTGTGAGTTTGAGACCAGCCTAGACTACATAGTGAGTTCCAAGTCAGTGTCAACTACATAGTGAGACCCCACCTCAAACCTCCCCCGAAAAAAAAAGAAATGGGAAGTATATATAAAGTCCTTTTACACACTGAAATTTCACGATTGCCTTGTTAGGAAAGCCTGTATGTTACTGTTTAATTGCAAGCTGAGATAGCTACTTCTTTCAAATAATACCCTATTTACTTAAATGAATAATAGATACATAATCTGTGGTTATTCATATGTGGCATTTGCAATCTTTTTGGGGTTTTATTTGGAGGCAAAGTCTGCCTATACAATTCAGGCTGGCTTCGAGCTCATTATGTAGCCCAGGCTGCCCTCAAACTCATGACAATCCTCCTGCCTTAGCGCCCTGAGTGCTGGGATTATAGGTGTGTGTCACCATACTTGCTGGCAGTCATTTTTTCCAAAGTGAAGTGAACCCATACTTTAAGGAAAATAATTGACAATATTGTGGCTAGTTATAAAACTTGAGCATTCAGATGTAAATTGGGAAGTTGTATCTCTACCATAAGTCTTTTTTTTTTTTTTTTTTGGTACTGGGGATTGAACTTGGGACCTTGTGCTTGCAAGGCAGGCAGTGGAACTACTGAGCTAAATCCCCAGTCCTCTACCATGAGTCTTGACAGTATCCCAGTACTTACTTTTCTGATGAAATCAATATTGATATTTACAAAATGTTTTGATGTTGTTAGAGTGTGATGTATGCATAATGGAAGATTTGCATAACTGAACTAGTGTGACTAATTCATGATGTTGCACACTCGTGCACCAATGTAAGATCCATGCAAAATGCAGGAGAGAGGCAAAGATTTTTAATGCTACAAAGTATGAAAGTGTATATAGTTTGAGATTCCAGTTTGCAGCTAACCTTTACAATTATCATGATTATAAAAGGAGTCCTCAGACCACACAGTTAAAAACTTTTGTTCTAAAGGATGGGGGGAGAGAGGATAGATTTATGATTCTTTTTCAGTAAAAATATGGGTCTCTAAAGATGGTTCCACAGAGAGCTGAGTGATTGTACCATGAGATGCAGAGAAGGGAGATGAATGTGGGGCAGCACCAACATACGGAAAAGATCTAGGAGGAAGAGTAGTGGTTTATATTTTAAGACAGATTTTGCCAGCCAGGCGTGGTGGCACATGCCAGTAATCCCAGCACTGGGGAGGCTGAGGCAGGAGGATTGCCATGAGTTCAAGGCCAGGTTGGGCTACATAGTGAGTTCAAGACCAGCCTGAATTACATAGCAAGAATGTGTCTCAAAACACACACATGCACACATTCATGCATGACAGATTTTGCCTATTTCAAGTTTGCCTAAGTCTAAATCTTTATCTAGGAAAGGGATAAGAAAATGTTTTTTCTTTTTTTCTCTTCTCTACAGCATCTTTCCTCAAAATTCAGGTGTAATCTGTGACCCTGATGGTAGTGTTTAAGATGGACTTTCTCTTAAGGGTTAAGGCTTTGTGGGCCGTGTGGTCTTTATAGCAACTGCTAATCTCTGCTTTTGCAACACAAAAGTAGTAAGTGAATGGGGATGGCTGTGTCCCATTAAAACTTCGGCAGTTTGCCAACCTTGGGTCTAAGAGTATTAACTACTATTACAGATTTATTATCATAGGGAGGTAAGTATTTCAACCTCCAAATAACTGACTTGGAATTGAATTATTTTAAAATCAACCTTTAAAATGCTTTGTAGTTGTTTGGGGACCTTTACTTTTCCTCTAAGTTGTAATAAAATTGGTGATTATTTTTTACCAGCCCTCTACTTGTAATAACTTGTAGAATGGAAGCTTTTTGGCATTGCCAAATTTAACATTTAACCAGCAAATTCTTTCACACATCATTTGTGATTCTGCTCCTTATAAACCTCTGTCAGACTGAACATTAGCACTCTCCAGTGTGGTGGCCACTGGCCGATGTGGTTACTGCGCACCTGCGATATGGAGAGTCTGAGTCGAGTTGTGTGCCATGTGTGAAATGAGCACTGCACGGCTAAGGTACTAGAGAACTTGCCTGGCACAGGGGCCTCGGTTTGATCTGCCGTACCATTCAATGAGTGAGTGAGTGTTGTATGTGAACGCACATTGTCTGAGGATTGATATGGGGAAAAGAGCATAAACTATTTCATAGATTACATTTTGAAGTGATAATACTTTGAAATACTTTGTTAAATAAAACATTAAAATCAAGTTTGCCTGCTTTTATGTTTGTTAAGGTCCCTACTAGAAACTTTAAAATTCTTATGTGGCCTTGTTAACGTATTTCTGCAGTGGGTGATAATAGATTGCTCCTTTGAGTAAAACTTGGTCTCACATTTTATTTCATACTCCAGCTTGTTCTAAAAAATATTTTGATATTCTTACCTCTGAAATGAGACAGTAGTAAAGTCTTCTTATGACTTTGTTATGGAATGTTGTTAAATTTTGCCCTGTATAAGGGAAATAGAATTGTATTAGAATGGTGAGATTATGGTGGTTTTTATGTGAAAATTCTTCAAATTATTTATAACTTGAAATTTCTGGGAAGCTAAAGTTTGACCATAAGCATGTGTTAATCTGATTTTATTTTTATTTTACTTGTGATACATAGCTTGTAGATCCTGGAGTTAAAGCATGGACACCCACTAAAGGAAAACAGAATGTGATAATGTTTGTGGGATTGCAGGGTAGTGGGAAAACGACGACATGTTCAAAGGTAAATTATACTTTTTAAAAAGTCATATAGAAGACATGTTTATGTAAGTCAAGTTTTATGTTAAAGCCAGGCTGTAAAAGATTGTTACTTTACAATTTCTTGTTACTTGATGTATCCATTATGTTTCTGTGAGAACTTTATTAAGAAAAGAAGAGAGAATCCCAATCTCTTCTCAGAATGTCAGACTTAGAGAATTATGACTTATTTTGTTTTAAAAAAAGCCATCCTGTCCCTTAAGAACATGAATGTATGAGTTTTGGAGAAGAGAGCAAAAGAGCTTATGGTACTTCTGTGGCACAGATTACTTTTCAATACTCCACTCTGCAAAATATGGGTCTTTATTTGCATCCCTTTACGCTATTCTTTAATTCATTACACTGCTCCTTCCTCTAGAATTGGGTGCCTCATTATTGTTGCCAGACTTTTTTACGTGCCTCAACCATGTTACAGATTACAAGGGGAAAAAGGATTGATTGATTGATTTGATTTTGGTACTGGGGATTGAAGTCAGGACTTTGCGCTTGCAAGGCAGGCACTGTGTCACTGAGCTAAATCCCTGGCCCCAAAAGGATTATTTTTATAAGGTTCTAGTAATTTTTTTTAACTTCATTAACAGTAATAATGAATGTTTTTAACAGTAATCTACTGCTGCTTGGTCAGTTTATATCCTATGAATGCAGTGTATAATCTCTGGAAACTTTGCTGTATTCAAAAATATTTAATACATTCAGGAAGATTATGAGCAGTGTTACTTTATTTCTTAGGTAAATAAGGCTAAATAAATTATATATAATGATTTATTATGTCTTATGATACTATTTTTTTAAACTTCCTTTCCTAGTTAGCATATTATTACCAGAGGAAAGGTTGGAAGACCTGTTTGATATGTGCAGACACATTCAGAGCAGGTAGTGTATTAAAATTTTTTAATTGTTTTCTGTAATTTTTCTTTTCAAGTTGGAGGATTCATTAATTTTTTTTATCTCAGGGGCTTTTGACCAACTAAAACAGAATGCTACCAAAGCAAGAATTCCATTCTATGGAAGGTAGGTTACTCTTTTTTTCCTTTGGGTAGTCACATGCCTCATCTTGTATTTTGACTAACCTGTTTTTTTTTTTTTTTTTTTTTTTTC